GCTTTTCTGAGTTTCTCACTTTTCCCAGTCTTAAATTCAGTTCTCCACATCTCCACATTGGTCTGCAAATTCATTTTTTTTTTTAAAGTCCTCATGAGCATTTATTAGCATGGATTGTGAACTTTTCCTAATTTGCACAGGTTTCTATGCCATTTTGCCTAATATGCTAATTTCTGTAAAGCAAGTTTTCATAATATTTTTATGCATGCATGATACTTGGCTGGAGAGCTTCCCTGCAAAATTTAGAAAAGCACCTATTTTGAATGATGACTGCATTCTGGTTGCGTATTTTGAGAAGTGCGAATTAAGTTGGTTTCAAAATGTGAAGTTAATCAAATGTCCTCCCCAACCCTACTCCCAGAAAAGTGAGTACAGTGGTACCTCAGGTTAAATACGCTTCAGGTTACAGACGCTTCAGGTTACAGACATCACTAACCCAGAAATAGTACCTTGGGTTAAGAACTTTGCTTCAGGATGAGAACAGAAATCACACAGCGGCAGCAGGAGGCCCCATTAGCTAAAGTGGTGCTTCAGGTTAAGAACAGTTTCAGGTTAAGAACGGACCTCCAGAATGAATTAAGTTCTTAACCCGAGGTACCACTGTACAGGATTGCAGCCTCACATATTCAAAGACAGCTTTGAGATGAGAATAATGCCCAAGGCTTCTCTGCAGATGTCAGCTGCTCTCCTAAGAGAGGAGCCTATTCTTCCTGATTAGCAAAAGCAGGCAGGTAAAAGTGAGTGAAGGAAAAGGAAAATGCTTTTTATCCACAGCTTCAACAAAACAACAACAACAAACAAACACTACCTTGAGCAGCTGTCAAGGTTTGTTTAGTGCTAAGGCCACTTGTCCATCAGAGGATCTGGTTAGAGGAGCAGATACAATTCATAAAGAATGCTAACTGCTCATGTCCATTTTGTAAAGCTACATCCCCTCTCCCCAAGTCACACTACTTCATCCTTTGGTGTTGTTACCTTCCTGGAATGTAACTTTGAACTCTGATATTTCTTCCTTCTTCCCTGTTTGGAGGATAGAGAGAGGCCTGTGACTGTGAGCAGAAACTGTGCGAAGGTAAAAAATTCCATTTGTTGCTTCCCCTACTTTCTCCCTCGTCCCTCCCTCACCACTGGCATGTGGGACCTGAAAGTTTGTGAGAGGAAATTCCATTGCTCAGGAAAAGTTCCCCCACTCCTGGTGTAGAGTATCAAATGGGAAATGCATCTGCAACTTGAAGGCACCTGAAATGGACAGCAGGTAAAGCCTGAAATTAATTTTAGAGGCAGCTACATTCCCTCCAGTGACGGTTTCCATCTAAAGTTGCTGAGGTGTTTTTTTGGGAGGGGGGGGGAAACGTTCAGACAAGACAACCTGCCACTCTCTCTTAGTGTTGAGTCCCACGTGGAAGTCTAGCTTGGTGTGACAGTCTATCTGTTTGCTCTCTCAGACAGCAACGATGACCTCGTTTCTCAGAAGTTTAATTTTGCCCAGACTCTTCTCTTGCTAGCATTCAGACTTGTCGTCGGATGTAGGGGTGCAATGTGCAGTTTGATTAAATCGACTGAACTTTCCAACGGTGACAATTAATTAATTAATTGTGTCTTCAATTAATCATTCATGTTTTTATTTTTATTTTTTAATGGCTAATGCAAGTGCTTATAATAATTGCCAATAGATAGCATTGAAAAGCCATTCCTCTTTTTTCCCTTTTGAGCACTAGGCACCAACATATATGAAAAATGCAGAATATTACGAGGACAATGTTTTCCTTAAGCTTTGGAGGCCTGTTCTTGGAAACTTCCAAGATTAACAGCACAAACCAATGCATGCTTTCTCAAAAGTATGCTCCATTGATCTCAATGAGGCTTAACTCCCAGGCAAGTGTATATGGGATTGCAGCCTAAAATGCAAAAAACCCCAAAACCCAGTGCAATTAAGAACATACCTTGTGGTTCCGTCAATAAGCAATGCATCAATGCAAGTGGAAAAAGTCAGAGTCAGCCATTTTAAAAAGCTTATAGGTCAGTGCCTTTGACTTATGCACTTAGTATATACACCCATTTAAAATATTTATCATCATTCTTACTTGGGGCTTGCAAAGCGAGTTGATCAGAAATAAAGGCGTTCCTGTAGTTGCAAATGATCTGAAATAGTGCAAATGTGGGGGAAATGCCTCCTCTATCTTTCACTGTTAATTAATTAATTAATTAATGTTCAACTGTTATTGGATTTAATACAAAAATAGGGCAATCGGAAATAGTGGGATGAGCCAAACAAGCCTTCCCTACAGCTCTCTTGTGAGTAGAAGTAGCATTTCTCCCAGCCCAAAAGCACTGACGAGCCTGTTTGGTACAGTGGTTAGTGTGTTGGACTAGCACCTTGGGAGACCAAGGTTCAGATCCCTGCTCTTCTATGAAGCTCGTGGGGTGACCTTGGCCAGCCACTGTCTCTCAGCCTAACCTACCTTACAGGGATACATGAGGGGTTATAGATGCTTCCATTACCTTATAGATGCTTCCATTACCTTACTTTATGGAAGTTAGTTGTTTGCATCCAGCTCATGTAAGCATCTGATGAGGAACTTCGTATCTCTTGTTATAAATGTACAACCTGAAATGTCTGATATTTTGAGATAGGTATATCAAGGGGAGAGATGCCACCACTGGAAGCAGAATGGTTAAATAACTTAAGATTGTCCCTTTTTTGGTATTTCATGCTTGAGATTTTAGCACAGCATCCTGCTGCAGATTTAGTTCTGGTGGTCTCAAAATGCTTTCCATATGAATGAGTACATCTTCTGCTTCGTTTAATTTTCACAAAGCCTTCGACCATTTAGGCACAGCACTTGAATCCCAATTGCAGGACATGCTGGTACATAATGCATAACAGCAAACATGTTCAGCATGTCAAAGAACACTGTGCGTCATTTGGGTTTACTTGGAATTGCAGAGATCTGAGGGAGAGAACACCATTTAAAGAGAAAGAGTTGTCTCCGACCAAATTATACTTGGAGTAAAGGTAAAGGGACCCCTGACCATTAGGTCCAGTCGTGAGCGACTCTGGGGTTGCGGCGCTCATCTCACTTTGTTGGCCGAGGGAGCCGGCGTACAGCATGTGGCCAGCATGACTAAGCTGCTTCTGGAGAACCAGAGCAGTGCACGGAAACGTCGTTTACCTTCCCGCCGGAGCGGTACCTATTTATCTATTTGCACTTTGATGTGCTTTCAAACTGCTAGGTTGGCAGGAGCAGGGACTGAGCAACAGGAGATCACCCTGTTGTGGGGATTTGAACTGCTGACTTTCCAATCGGCAAGTCCTAGTCTCTGTGGTTTAACCCACAGCGCCACCCACATCCCACATACTTGGGAGTAGATCCATTGAAATTAATGGACCCAGTCATGCCTATTATTTTTTAGTGGTATACCGTGAGGGCATATAATATTGTTTACTATCCAAAATGTTCCAGCTGCGCACATATATATATATTAAGCAAGGACCTATTTCAGCTAGAATGTTTTCACTAACAGCAGGATTTGAATGGGCCCCACACCACACTGGAAAGCGATGCTAGTTGGCACTCGCTAGATAAATTCGAACCATTTCGTACTTTATCATCCTGAGATTTCTACTGGGATCAGCTCAAAACTGATTTCTCCAGGCCTGCTCTCCTCTTTACTTACCACTCCAGGGGGATGGTCCAGACTGTTTGCTTTCTCCTCGATCTGAATGTTGCCTTTGCAGAACTCAGCAGGAAGGAGAATGAGGACAAAAGTATAGTTGGCTGGTTCTGGCTCCATCTACTGTTGACTTCCCTGCCTTTTTGCCAATAGGCACCAGCCACCAATGGTGTGTTTTCCTTAAAAAAACAAACGAATGAATCCAGAACCTCACAGTTTAATTAAACTGTGTTCCGGCAGGTGAATGGACATATGGATTTGTTTAAAATGATAGGAGTTCTGTACCAGCGACTGAAAAGATTTTGAGACGTTAACATCGGAATTTGGAAACTGGCGTAACAATAGAGAAGAAAGCAGGAAAAAGAATGTGTGAGATAATTGCTCCAGACATCCAGAACATGGGAAGTTCTTCCCTGAAATTTTAATTTGGAATGTAATTTGGCTTTATGTTTGTATTGTGATTTGATTGAATTTGTCATTAATTGGGATGTTTTTAATTGAAAATTAATTTAAAAAATTACAAAAAAGAAAAAAGAATGAATCTGGAACCTCTCTGATCAGCTATTTGGCAGAATAGGAAATGCCAGGGGAGACTGAAATAAGTCTTCCAGCTTTCCCTCCTGAACATCTGATTGTCAGGTTTTGTCTTTTTTAAATGGCTACATGTCTGCGATCCTGGCTAATGGACAGAGCTGAGGAACTGCATATAGACCTCCACCTACTGTTGCAGGATACATTCCTATCTGCACATGACTGAGATGGCAAAATGGTGTTTCCTTTTCTCAGTCTGGATGTCACGCCTTTCTGGTACACACAGTGTGGCACCAATTTTTCACAAGTGCTTTTCCTGCTGCAAAACGAATGCTGCCCTTTCGCCTTACTTCCCTCGCTCACTGCTATTTGCAGCCTTGGTCAGTAGCTGATTTAGTGCATTTTTAAAGTGCTTTTTCCTTCTTGAAGAGGAGCCCAGCCAATCAGGAATCATATGGTCAACTTGATAGTAGTGGTATTTATTTATTTATTTTTGTATTGTTTCACTGCCCCCAAAAGTACTTGGCTATGTAATGACATCATGAAGCCAATTCAAAATGGGGGCGGATAACCGTTGTTCTCATTCCGAAGGGATGAATAGTTTTGCCCGTGTTTCCTGGTGCTTCCAGGAAAAACTGATCTAGGGACACTTTTTATAGCTTGATAAATCTTCTGTGGAAAACCATCCCCTCCCCCTCTTTTTGCACAGCTGATTTGTGCGGTCAGGGACAGACGCTATACCACTCTTCTTTCTATCATGCCAAGACAGTAATGGGGAAACATGATTTTTCTTTACCTCATTGTCACAAATTAAAACATTTCAGAGGAAAACCCAAAAGCAGTACAAAATATAAATAAAAGAGACCAGTAATCGAGGACCCATCAAATTGGTCCACCCCTAATTTCAACGGGCGTTGAGTCATTACCAATTATGCAGAGGTTACCTTAACTCCAATCAATATGAAGTAGAAGAGAGGTCAGAATCATTCATCTGGCTTATCATTTAGCTGATTTCAAAGAAACTTTATTGAATGTAAATAACAAAACTGAACAAAAACAAGTTGTTTTGTGTAAACGAGTCACAAGCATAGTTTTATGGAATGATATGGAATATAGAAGATCACTTTCGCTGTACATAGCTTTAAATATAATAAACCTGTTATAAGTTTTATAAAAAGTTCACGGTGTGCTGCTGACCTCCAGATACACCTATTTTCTGGTTCAGAAGGTCTACACTTGGTACTTGGAAAAAAAACCCTGTATAAATAATTTGTTTTTAAAAAATCCAAGACTAACAAAAGACTAAAAACACACTGGCACTTACACAATTGTGTCCAGGTTCCAGAAATTCAGCTATCTTATTATTATTATTATTTCAAAGTCTAGATGCATGTTTTATACCAGTTCTAAAGTGACACTATGACACCTAATTTCATGAACAATCAGACCACACTTGTATTTCTTATATCCATGCTGCCACAACGATACTGAGTGACAATGGTTCCTAAAATTATGTTCAAGGATCTACCAATGAGATCTTATAGACATTTTCAATCAATGTCAGCCATAAGCCATTTGTGGCTCGATCTATGGTTACTGGTGAAATTGCAGCTATAAAATTTAGAGCAGTGGTTTCCATATGGCAATCTACCAGATGAAGGAGTCCTATGGGTCAGGAAGATGTTGGCAGTGAGTTTGAGGCTCACAAGGGCCCATGTAGACATAACACCTAACTATGGTTTGTTGCCTTAATTCTGGTTAAGATCCCACAGTGAACCTATGACTCAGTGAGCTAAGGGGAAGTGCAGAGAGATATCAGTGAAACCTGCTTGTCAACCTTGCAAGCAGAGGTGTTGTAATGATGGGAAGATGCTCTCAACCATGGTTTGTTTGACATGGGAATGATCACACAACTGTGGTTGATTCAAATCGTGGTTAAAAAACCCATGTCAAATTTTGCTTTCACTTCCTAGTTTGTGGCCAGTCCTTAACCTATGGCTTAATACTTAAGCTTGGTCAAAACAAATCCAAGTTCAGCATTATGTCTGCACAGGAGCAAGGTAGGGGAGTATTCCATGTTGTCAGTATAAAAGAAAAAGGAAAGGAAATATAGGAATAAGCTGCTTGTGTTAAAATAGCACAAGGATTCCTTTCCAGTAAAAACTATTTTTGTAGAAAGAGCAGAGACTATTGATAGAAAGCCTCAAAATTGAAATTGAAAAGTATTCAGGTATGCCTTGGTTGTAACTTAGCACACAACTAGCAGTTCAGCTGAACAGAATTTAAAAGTACTTCACTAGAAGGTCACATGTTTACATGCATGTCTCTGGAGATTTGCTGAAAATTGGAGGATATATTTAAAACAGTTGACAAAATCTATACACTGGGGAGGGGTGCACTCATTTTCCACTGAAAGAAGAAACGGTGGGGAATTTTATCCTGAGTAAGAAGGCAAATCGTTTTCATATTCCTGGGATGTGCACTCCCATCCAAGCCCTTTAATTTGGCAGTGTTAAATATCCACATGGTCACTTTTAAAAAGGTTCTTCTTAAGAATCACGGATTCAGTGATCGCCGTTTGTAATGCAAGAGGTGCTTGGGGAGTGTAGGCAAGGCAGAGTCTTTTAACGATACAGTAATTTTAAAGGAATGTTAAACGCACTTCTACAAACTATCTGCCCCAACGGGGGGAAAAGAGGGCAAGTGCCACTGATTTCAGTAGGCTATGATTCAAGCAATGGGACTTAAAAGTGTTTCTGGCAGTGCACTCCTACACACATCGACTCCAAAGTAACTCTCATCAAGTTCAATGGGGCTTACACTCAAGTAAATGGGTGTAGGATTGCAGCCTGAATGTGCCTGATCATGCCCAGTTAGATCTAATCACAGTTATGTCTGCATAGGGATCAAATATTGAATCATTATGACAGAGATGTAATATTGGAGCGTCCACCCGGGGGAGCAATAATTTTCTGTGCAGTACGTCTTGCAACATGGTCATCGGCTTGAGATCCTAAAAGAAAAAATGGCACACAATAGAATGCTTACAAATAGGTAAATCAAGAAATGCGTTCATTAATACAACACAGCCTTATTATGAGCATCATGCGATTGTTAAAAGAGTATTTCTATGGAGATTCGTTCATGCTGACACAGGAAATGGAATGTGTACATGCAAATCAAGTATATTATATTATATTAATTATATTATATATTATATTACGTTTTGTTTTCTTTTACATTTATTACTGCACAATCATTTATCATGAAAAGTAGCATGGAGAATTTTGCCATGTATCACTGGAATCATGCCCTTTGAAAACTGAACCATAATGTGCTAATTCCTAAAGATAGGAAATCTTATGCTCCTTTATAAGAACATAAGGAAATGAAGGGGGCAGACGCTAAGCACTTCTAAAGGCACGTTAATTTCAGCGGATGAGATTTATGTTTGCGCTTCAGTTCCCCCATTGAAATTAATAAGGTCTGAAAGTACTTAACTGTCTGGACCAAGTCCAAAGGTATTTTCGAACAGCTCTTAATAGCTAAGCATTTAGGATTAAAAGAAGATTAAACACTTCTAGAGTTTCACACTTGGATCGAGTTAAAATAAAATGTGATCCAAAATAATTACAGCGTGCTGGAATGAATAATGACATCATTGATCAAAGGAAATATATTATTACTGTTTATGACTTACGAAGCACCCAAAATGCTCTAAGCAGCACACAGAGGTTAAAAGGTAAGACACTTTCTAAAATCTAGGGAGTGATAGTGGTTGCCACTGAAGGTCCTCTTTTGTCCAAACCGCAGGCTTTTAATCTTCAGGGTGAACAAGTGCTACTTAAGCCAGAGGGCAGGGAACCTCAAGTCTAGGAGCCAAATGAAACCCCCATCCTCCCCACTTGGCCCTCAGGAATCTCCCCAGACCACATTCTCTACTAACCCTGATTTGCTCCCTCCTTGAGTACTTTTGCCTGCTGATAATGTATCCCTGACAATGCCTCTCATTTTCCCGGAGGATAGAGAGGGATGTGTAAGTGTGTGGAGAAACTAAGCTATTGTACAAAATTAAAATTTACATTCATTACTCCACCCACTTCTGCCTCCAGCCCTGCCCCATCTGACTCTGGTGTGTGGACCCCAGAGGATGTGGGCCTGGGCTAAAAAAAACTTCCCTCACCCCACATATCCAGCTGCTTCCATATCACAAATGTACATTCATGGACCCCTTCCTTGTCCCAAGCCCAAGAGTGCTAGGTGATCTCCCAGTGTTGAACATGCAATGGGCAGCCCCACCCTGCTTCCTGCCTCTCTTAGTGCTAAGTGATGCCCTTCTGGAGGAGGCACTGACTTCTCCTACCCTTTCATGGTTGTCATACAACCATGGCGACGGACTGCACATCCAGTGCTCCATTTGTACCACCCCTTGCGCGCTAGTAAGCAAGCTAGTAAGCAAGCCCAACTGGAAAGGGGGCTTAAACCAGGGGTCGTTTAACCGGCCCATGGACCCCCCACCGCCCATTCAGGGACCCCCGCTGCCTACTCAGTCGGCTCCCATGCTCCGGATTAAAGTGGCACCGAGCAGAGCGGGGACCACCTTCAGCGACGCTGGCCGGCTTCCCATTGGCTGCAGGAAGCTCCTGCAGCCAATGGGAAGCTGCGCATGCCTCCTCTGCACCGGAAATAGCATTTGTGCATGAGCACACACTCCGGCCCACCGCGGCGTCTGCTGGACCATGAACCGGCCCAAGCCACAAAAACTTTGCCGACCCCTGTCTTAAACATTCTCCAAGCAGGCATGAATCTCCATTCCATGAATGCTATTTTTGGCAGCAGCAGCACAGCACCTGAGTCAATGAGGTGCAAAGGAAAACTGTTGAACAAGGTAAAGGTAAAAGTAAAGGGACCCCTGACCATTAGGTCCAGTCGTGGCCGACTCTGGGGTTGCGGTGCTCATCTTCCTTTATTGGACAAGGGAGCCGGCGTACAGCTTCCAGGTCATGTGGCCAGCAGGACTAAGCCACTTCTGGCGATCCAGAGCAGCACATGGAAACACCGTTTACCTTCCTGCTGGAGCGGTACCTATTTATCTACTTTACTTGCACTTTGACGTGCTTTCGAACTGCTAGATTGGCAGGAGCTGGGACCGAGCAACGGGAGCTCACCCCGTTGCGGGGATTTGAACCGCCAACCTTCTGATCGGCAAGTCCTAGGCTCTGTGGTTTAACCCACAGCACCACCCGCGTCCCGTTGAACAAGGCACTCGCCTTCAAAAATTGAATTTTGCAAAGTGAGTAACGATCCACAAACTGGAGTGTCATGTACTAGGGCCCAACAACCTGGCAGGAGCCACAGGATGCAAGTCCATACCCAAGTGACAGTACTAGGCCACAGACTGACTATGCAACTCACTGGTGTGACTGGACGCATGCCCACCAAAAGGCACTGCTAGGTCATCAACGTAGTACAGAGAATGTAGATTAGCTTGCAGCAGATAAAGTGCTTGTGCACCATTGCAAGGTGCCTTTAGTCTTGGGTACCAAAGTGTGAGATTAATAAAAACAGCAACAAGCCACCTTAAAAGGCCACATAGCCATGCCAAATGAAGCGCTTAAGATGCAGTCACATCAGTTCAGTCACTAATTCAAATCTTATTTTATGCCTAGCATGTAGCAACAGCAGAAAACACAACCCCTAAATTCTAGTACAGATACCAGTACTATAAATCTGGAATGGGCTTCAGGTTGTGACCCAGATCTGGGCCTTGGTTAATGTGTCAACAAAATGGGAGCTTCCCTTTAAGTCAGCATTCTCTTTATCCAAGTGAATTTGATGTTTATTTTGTACCACCCCCTTAAAAAAAATCAACTTACCAGACAGGCTGAAGCCTGACTGATGTAGGTTGCGGATGGGAGGAACCTGTATTTTGCCTGAACAGGTAGCTATTCTTGAGGTAGGAGTTGGGGCCACAGCTTTAGCAGTTACTATGACATCGTGAACTGGTCCGTCATAAAGCCCACGAGGAACACCATGAATTTCTGCAAGCTATAAAAAAGTAAGAGGGAGAATCACAGTTGACTGAATGTTTGCTGGTTTTCCTTGGGTATATTCATGACCAAATGTTTGAAGGTTGTCACTAAAACAATGTTAATAGTATTATTATTTTCTCCTGACCAAGTGTTCTCAGTACAGCTGTCTCCCCCTTTCTCCTTGTAATGGGACAGATCTCAAAGGAGCAAGACAAAACATTCTTACAAGAAGTTAGCTAGAGATACTCTTCCTCTGAGGAGTATCATTCACACATGCTAGAAGTTAGCTAGAAGTAAGGCACAGGCACAGAAATGCTGTCACAAGAGACCTTTTAAAGAGGAAGCGTTTTGCATTTTGAACAAGTATTTCTGCTCTGTTGTTCACTTTTCAGATGGTTATATACCCAGACTGACACAAACACAGACATATTTTATAGTGCTGCTGATAATACACAGTTAAACTATGAAATTCGTCACAAGAAGTGGCAAGGGCCGCGGACTTCGCTTTAAAAGGAGGTTAGACACATTCATGGAGGCTCTCCATAGCTACCAGTCATGATGGCAATATGCTGCCAGTTGCTGGGAACAACTACGAAGGGGTCATTGTACTTGTGTCCCAGTTTTGGGCTTCCCACAGGCATCTTGGACAACAGGATGCAGGACTAGATTATCCAGCAGGGCTCCTCTGATGCTCTTCCATTCTGTGTTAATGCTTGCTTTCCAGGAAGTTATTGTTAGACAGGAGGGCAAGGAGTGGAATGTAGACAATCGGAATAAGCGCCTTGAGTATCAAAGGCAACTGCCCAAATGAATTACCATCACGAGCAATCACTGACTGCCCTATTTGGAGCCCAATTATGGGTGAGTTTGCAAACCTCCAGCTCAGCCTAAATGGAAGTGTATGTTTTGTTGAGAACTTCATTCCTGGGATAATTAAAAATGACAGAGGGCGCTGCATCTTTCGCGTACAACGCAAACACAGTTTGATTGGTAGCCTACAGGACTTGTAAGTGTTTTCGGCTAGAATCTGACAGAGTTATGAGTGGTTCTTCCTCCCCCCCCACCCCATTTCACTCCTTCCAAATGTGTGTAAAAAAATAAGAAAAGAGTCGACGAGGCAGGTAAAGCTAGGACTCAATATATAGCTCCCTATGGATAAAAAAAATGGTAGCTACTTTCCAGGCAACCTACCAAATAAGTAGGTAATGTGCATAAATCTTAGCATTTATTTACTGAAGGTTAAGGGTATCATCCAGGGCCCTGAAGCAACTTCTTTCCATGTGCGCACTCTATACACTGAAGGTTCCAACCACCAACCAACCTGCTCTCTTGCAGGCAACCTTCCCACAGACACAGAGGTAGGTGTGTGCTGGAAGATTGTGAGCACCCAACTGTGCATGTAAAGGGAGCTAAGGACCAGGTGGGGCATTGCTACTCACTCATGCAGGCCACCAAAAGGTCTTCTCCAAGGCAGCACTGCACATAGAAGAAGTTGTGTTCAAATGCTCCTTAAAGGTAAAGGTAAAGGACCCCTAACAGTGAAGTCCGACGACTCTGGGGTTGCGGCGCTCATCTCGCTTTACAGGCTGAGGGAGCTGGCGTTTGTCCACAGACAGTTTTTCTAGATCATGTGGCAGCGTGTCTAAGCCGCTTCTGGCACAATGGAACACCGAAACCAGAGCAGCGCATGGAAATGCCATCTACCTTCCCGCTGGAGTGGTACCTATTTATCTCCTTACCGTATGCCATGTACATGCAACTGTTTGCTATAACGTCAACTGTGGCAACCCTGACAATAAGTAACGTTTAAATGAATCATAGAATTGTAGAGTTCAAAGGGACCACAAGGGTCAAGTAGTCCATGCAGAAGTCAAGTAGTCCATGCAGAAGGATTTGGGGGGGGGGGGGAGAGAGTTGCAATATCCAAACTGGGCCTGTCTGCTCCATTCATAACACTGCAACTCCTAACAGTGAATTCAGGGGTTTGGGTGCCCATGAGGCTGCAGCCAAAATGAGGTCATTGAAAAACAGGAGGGAGGTATCAATATGCTCAGGGAACCCCAGCTTTGCCACAGAACAAGTTCTCTTGGGGGGCAAAGTTCCCCCACAAAATAGCACAATGAGAACTAATCCTGCTCAGTAGCCACAGCTTATAGAGTGAAAATGGGAAAAAATAGATTAAAAGAGCAGAGGCTGGAGGAGCAGAATGTTCTGCTTGAGGGGAGAATGGTTGCCAAGACTAATCCTGCACCACAACACTGTTTTTTAGGAGGGAGGATACCCTGCAACATTATGTTGGAGGCCACACTTGTTCATGCTTATTATGATGCTTGAAATTTCAGTAGTAATGCAACTACTGACATTGAATGCTCAATATAACGCCTGACCACATGGCCCTCATGCTGCGGACAGAGTGAAAGAGTCCTACAAAGAGTGGCAGCAGGCAACTTGGTTAGTTGCCCTTAAAGGCATTCCTGGGCCACAGTCCCATTCTGCAGGAGTACGTTCGGTCCACCTCTGTCCATAAGAAATACCATTTGACAAACCATGATTGGTCACCGCAGGAATGAGCCTTGTGCCTGCAAACTCCCTCATCTACTGATGTGTTTCACTTCAGTTACTGAATCCTGCCATTATGTCTAAATGGGCAAACTATGGTTTGCACTTTCCTTTCCAACCAGGATTGCAAACCATAGTTTGAAGGTAGTTTGCAAAACTGGTTTAGAGGACAAAATGGCCCAAACTGAACCACAAGCTATGGTTTCTACAAAAGAGAAAGTAAGCAACTGAGCGTCTGAGGGCAGGAGAGGAGAAAGGACTCCTGGCTCCTGTCCCATGCTGGGTGCAAAGGGAGAGGAGGAAGTGTGCAAGAACGCAGTTTGGTGAGGATCAACAGGTAGGAAACATTTCTGGAGGGTACCACAAGGTTTACCTAGTTCTCATCTATGTTACCTCAAGGGATAATGATTCTTAGAATTTTGAAGGATTAGACTCCTGAAAGGAAGTGGAAGAGGCTGAAAACTTGTACAAGATACAATCATTCTATAGTGATTCATTTTATTTTTTTTAAGTATAGGTATTTTTCATGGAACTGAGGATTCATTGACTGTCATGAAGTTCCTACTTGAGGATGCAGATTATCCTAGATCAGTCTGTACATATCTAGGGCAGTTTATGACCCATTGGCTGAACACTGACTGAACTTTTTTTGACATGCCCAGCCTCCGGCCAAATGTCTGCCTAGCTGTGCCAATTCTGTCTCTGAGATTTATCAGTTGTCTTAACTATTCAAAACCCTCTTATATATGAGATTCCAGGTCACAGCTGCAATCCACTTATGGCCCTGCAAGTCATAGCATGAGGGTGAAAGCAGCAATAAGGTGAGAGGGAATCATTTAGGAAATCCAACTCTCATACCTAGTTTTCACCTTCAGCCATCATCTAAGCTTAACACCCAATATGAAAAACATCAAAATCCACTACTAAATATGCCGGATTTCATTCTCAAGCCCTAACAGCTACATTCCAGAAAAACCTGCTTAAATATTGCACAGTAGATCTGATCATACTGAACAGCTCTTTCCAGATCCTGTGATCAGCAGTTTTTGCAACTGCCTCCAAGAGACAAGGAAGCATTTCATCAGCAATGGGAAGGAAGGAGTTTCATGTACAGAAATGTTCTCACCCTGTTTCTTGCTTTTATCCTTTTGTAAACAAAATCAGGGAATGTCTTTCGAGGGATGAAACGACCAACGCCCTGGGTGACAAAGAGGTTCCCATCTTCCAGCACAACCTTCCCTTGGCTTATCACCACCGTAGGGACACCGTGACATTCTGTTCCTTCGAATATGTTGTACTCTACATTCTGGCAAAACCAACAAGAGATTCTTGATCAGCTTCAAGATGAATTATATCAAAAGGTAAGTGTCAGAGGGTCACCATGGTGGGTTGGATGCCGAATGTTCATAAATGCCAACTGAAAATGTGCACACAAACGGGAAGTGGTGCCCACGGCCTGGTCAATGTGCATAATCTCCAGGTGGCTTTGAATGATCATGCACAGCTTCCAAGGTATACATAGGGCACTCACTGAAACTTACATGCAAGTAAACACAAATAGGATCTGGCTGCATAGCACATTACTAACTCTACTGAAATTGGTGAAATTTAATGTTCAATCTTTGATGGATCTAAGGTTGTCAGCTGACTGGGGGGGGAAGCTCTACCTCACCTGCTTGCAAGCATTAATAATAGTTTGAACTGCAGCATTTTGTAGGTGACACTTTTCATCACTTGGGAGATAAACATGAGCACCTGCTAATGCATGCAGATCAAACCACAGTTAAAGGCAAAGCTGGAAAACAAGCTAGCAACCTTAGCTGCATTACATTTTATCACAGCTAATTAGTAGCTCAACTTTATAAATGATGAAACTTCTAATGTGCTGAAGAAAGGTAAAAGCAGTGAGTTCTTCTTTTACCAAGTTGTGAGTTTTTGCAGAGATTATCTTTGTAGCTTTCGGGTTCCAAATCACCAAGTCAGCATCGGAACCCACAGCAACCCGTCCCTTCCTGGGGTAGAAGTTGAAAATCTTTGCTGAATTTGTACTGGTCACTGCTACAAATTCATTTTCGTCCATCTTCCCCGTTGCCTGCAAATGGGCAGAAAGAGGGAAAGAAGGGAGAGGGGGATTTCAGAAAGAGAGATCTGAAAACCATAGACCTCTGGGGTGTGGAAAGCATGCTCATTTGACAAGTATTACATTCAGGCAAACAGATTAAAGTCTCTGGCCTTAATCTGTCATCTCATCCCAAATCTATCCCCCTTGCTGAGCTCCTTTGTAATTCATACTGCAGCTTGTATGAGAAGGAAAAAAAACTACGTATCTTTGAAGTACTGAAGATACTGGGAACAAGTGAAAAAGGAGGGCTGCCTACTATCATGCCCTGCTTGCAAGCATCCCAGAAAAATCCAACTGGCCAATGGTGGAAAAAGGATGCTAAACCAGGTGGATCAAGGTGGTTCAATCCAACACAGCTATTCTTACTGTGACATAGACAGTAGGGATGGTACATGTCTATTGATGGCATTAGGGAGGTGACTGCTCATAAAACTCAGCACTGAACTCTTTCCCAGAGGTGGAGAAGTTGCAGACTCCCATCGGCCCTACTTGGCATAGTCAATGGTCAGGGATGAAGACCAGGGATGAAGGGATGTTGTAGTCAAACAATATCTGGAAGGCCACAGGTCCCTCTAGTCCATATCACTTAAAATTATAGATACTGTATTTTTCGCCCTATAGGGCGCACCGGCCCATAGGGCGCACCTAGTTTTCAGGGGGGGAATCAAGGGGAAAAATATGATCCCCCCCCCCGCAGCTCTGGGAGCAGCGGACAGGCTGCACGCAGCCTGTGCACTACTCCAAGACCTTCTCCCTGCTTTTGCGGGAGGTGGCGGAATTCCCCCACCTCCCGCAAAAGCCCACAGGAGGGAGAAGGGACTGACTTGGCCAGTCAGTCCCTTCTCCCTCCTTTGGGAAAAGCCCCCAAGAGCGGCGCGCTCTTTAAAGGCTGCGCGGCTCCTGCGGGCTTTTCGACCCAGCTTGTGGGGCTGGCGGTGGGGGGAAGCGCTGCTTTCCCCCACCGCCAGCCTCGTAGCCGGGTCGCGGAGCAGCGCTAAGGTGACGCGTGCCTTCCCAGTGCCCCCCGAGCTTGTGGGGCTGGCGGTGGGCGGAAGCGCTGCTTTCCCCCACTGCCAGCCTCAAAGCCGGGTCGGGGAGCAGTGCTTAGGCGTCACGCGCATTCCTGTTGCCCCCCCCCCGCTTGTGGGGCTAGCAGTGGGGGGAAGTGCTGCTTTCCCCCACCACCAGCCTCAAAGCTGGGTCGGGGAGCAGCGCTAAGGCATCGCGTGCCTTCCCGCTGCCCCCCCAGCTTGTGGGGCTGGCGGTGGGGGGAAGCACTGCTTTCCCCCACCGCCAGACTCAAAGCTGGGTCGGGGAGCAGCGCTAAGGCATCACGTGCCTTCCCGCCAGCCTCAAAGAGCAGGCTTCGGAGGCTTCGCGTTGCTATCGCTGAAGCCAAGGAGCCTGCATTCGACCCATAGGACGCACACACATTTTCCTTTCATTTTTGGAGGGGGAAAAGTGTGTCCTATAGGGCGAAAAATAAGGTATTATCTGATTCTTATCTTAGGATAGCAAAGTGATGGCTACTCATTTAGGGATGGGCAAGTCTTTCCATTTCGTTTCTCTCATGTTTCTCATTGTTTTCAATCTTAAATTCAGTTCTCCACAATTCTGCATCTGTTTGTTTGTTTGTTAAAGTTCCCGTGAAGATTTATCAGCATTGAAGTGTGAATTTCTCATTGTATATTTATTTCATTTTATAACTTTTATATATTGCTTGATTGTAAAGAACAAACAAACACTCAAAGCAGTTTATATGCATTTTTGCCTAAAGTGCGCATTTTTGAAAAGCAATGCTCCCTAATATAGTGCATTTTCTTGGTTATTTTCACTAAGATGTGCATTTCTATAAACACTTTAGTGTATGCATGTTTGTACACATTACGCAGCTGAAGAACTGCATTGCAAAGTTCAGAGAAGTGTGAATTTTGAAGGGCAGCTGGGTTTTTGTTTGTGTTTCTGTAGTGCAAATTAGGTACACTGCAAACTGCTGGTTTAGCCAATACAATGCAGTGAGATATCTAACACTTTCAAGCCACGTCAGCATCCTTTGCTTTTCAGAGCACACTGGATTCTGCTGAACTGACTCACCACACACTTTTCCCAAATGACCGACATTCGTTCTTCAATGCCATTTGTTCCTTCTGGAATGAGGGTGAAGTTATCCTTTCCGACGGCCTTCTGCGCTGTGGCGAAGGTGCAGTGAGCACTGCCAACCACTTGAAGATCCCCACTAATTAAAACAAATGGCAAGCAAAGAGTGAAATGGGGGGGGAGCTCTTTGATGGTTGCATAAGCCAATTTATCCAATATTTTCCTACTGAGTCTGAAAATCTGGAGTGATTTTGATTTGTTGTAAGTTGAAAAGAAACAAACAGCTAATAAAACTTTAAAGAACTGGTGGGTTTTCAAAATGATTCCTCAGAGGTTACAATGGAGGTGAACAGAGGCAGTAGAGGAAATAAGACTGTCAACTTTATATTCATAATCAACCTTGACTCTGCCATATTTTTTACTGTGCCGACTTCAGCAGTACAAAGTGACAAGATGAATGTCACAGTGACTTAAATTCTAAACAAAAAATGGGGGGGGGGGAGAGAAGCTGTGTTTTGGCCTCTATGCGAAGAGGGGAGATACCAATCTATTCAGTGACTCCTAACCTCAGCCACGTTGCAAAAGGTAGAAAAAGTTGCCAGGAATGCAGGACTAGCAGCCACGGTATGGGGAAAAACAAACATATAAAGCCACACTCCTTTTTTAAAACAGTATGAGTAGTACATTTATATTCCACTAAAGGGCTCAAGTGGCTCCCCCTCCCCATTTAATCCTCACAACAACCCTGTCAGGTAGCGCAGCCTCAAGGGCAGGGACTGGCCCTGTGTCATCCAGGGAGCTTCATGGGTGATTGGGGGCACGAACCCTGGTCTTCCAGGTCCCAGTCAAAGGCTGCGGTTTATTCCATTTTCACAACTTTCCCCTGACTGTTAATTTCCACATGATATTTGAGTTATATATGATGCAAAAGCCACTTCTGGAACCATAGTGGGATATTGTGCCAGTTTAGTGCTCATTCCCAGGTTATTTGCTTCCAGAAAAAAAAAATCCATCTGCAAATGATACGGAAATGAGAGGAACACATTCTCTGTCAGGGACGAACCAGAAGTCTCAAGTTTCCCAGAGGGAGGGGGACCTGGGAGCGGAAGATGTGGACGAGGGGCCTGAGGGGGAGGGAGGCAATGAGGAGAGGGCGGTTGGAATAAGCCCAGAAAGGGCTGGGGAGACGGAAAGTTCACAGGGAACGCAGGGGTTAAGCTCAGGCTCAGAATCAGGGGGGAAATTTACGACTGCCCTAGAGAAGGCCTGTGGTAAAGAGAAGGGCGGAACTATGGGGTGGGAGACCTCACCATTTTATGAGCTGTTTGAGGGGCAAAAGCAGGCCTCAGCAGAGATCTGAACTGAGTGACTCTGATGGATGACCAATGTGCTAATGACCCATTGTAAATACTGTAAATAAAGACTATAAAAACTTCCAAGAGGCTCGTGGCATCTGTGGTGAGGAGAGACGCCCACAGCTCTGACATTCTCCACCATGGTTGCAATCCAGAGGGAGAAAGGAATATTGACTTGGTGGGAAACCAGGTCCAAATAAGGAGGTTTTCGGATGCTTATTCCAGGACAGCTGCTAGCTCTTCTCATGCTAACCATCACATTTGAGCTGCAGTCTGTTATTTGGTGTTTCCAGAGAAAGGTCATTCTGTCCTTAGGACTTACCATGCTAAGAGGGAAGTGAGATGATCGGGCGTTGTAGGATCTGGGCTAATGGGAGGAGATGTCACAAAGGCAGCAGCCTTGGCCCAGTTCTTGCTCCAATAATGAGAGCCATCTGTAGCAAGACTGGCTGTAATTGGCTCTCCATACACAACTGTGCCTGAACAAACAATCAACAGTCATCACCACTGCAGTATGCACATTGCTGCCATCAAAAGCAGCTGCCCCACATCTCCCCCACCCAGGAACATCCTATGGTACAAAAATGTGTGATAGGCACACCCCTTTGGAAGCAGAAAAATGTACATGAAACAAACAAGCATGCTGTATCTGCATATATATTCAAATGTTGGCTTCCCTGGTCTTAACTTGAGACTCCCTTGAGATGAGACTGGTGTTTAGATATGCAAATATATATATATCTCCCAATCGACAATATAGGGGCAAAAGGTTGATAAAAAATCTTGTGCTAGTAAATTCCAGTGTCTGTGGTTGAATGTCAGGTATACCGTTTAGATACTGTGAAAGAGAACAGAGTATTGGGGACAAACCTGTCTCAAGAGGGATTTTCAAGACAAGACCATGCAAAAGACCTTTCACAGAAGATGACATTTCTTAACCTTAAGGCTTCTGAATGCAACCAAAGATTTTCTGACAGCAGGACAGGACGTTGTCCGCAACACTTCCAGAGGTTTGTCACCTCCAAGGATGCTCAAACGACATGAAAGAATGTCAAGTTTATGCCTGAGAGATATTCTGAATCCACCACTAGCGGTCCTTGCTTGGAGAAAAATGTCTGCTATCTACCATCATTTTAAATGTCCGGGCATTTTAATTTCCCTGTTCAAAAACTGCTGACTTGACAGAAAGTCCTCATCAGTATGGAAGCGTGAAACAGGACTTACCTTTTCTCTTGGCTTGAGCGATGACATCTGCAGCCCCCTTGCTCATGACTTTTGTGACATATAAGGGGCAATTGGCTTGTTTCGCTATTGTAATGGCACGGAACACGGCCTCCGTTTCAACCTTTGGAAGCATGAACACAGTCAGATACTTACTTCACAATGTCTGCTTCATCTGAAGTAGCTTGCCTAGAGCTTAAACAACAGCTAGGGCTGCTAGGATTCTGTTATGATGGATTGTTCTACTTGTTCTTCATAAGTCTACCCCACTCACAACTGCACTTACAGGAAAACTGTAGTTACAGGGAAATGTGGGGAAGTTAGCATTATGTCTCCTCTGATATTGATTGATTTCAAATATATGAATAATTCAGTCAGACAATAATTATTACTGGAAGAGACTCAAATGTGGTTTTAAAAACAAATAAATGCGTAAATAAATACATAACTGAAAGAGTATGCATGTTTATTCAGAAGCAACTCCTGGTGGGTTGAAGGGGGTTTACTGCCTAACAAGCAACCTAAGAGTGCCATCTAGAACAATAAAACTCAGCAGAAGTGGTGTTGTTTATATAATGACACATGGACCATCCTTTTAGTCTCATTTCAGATTGCAAAAGCACCAAGTGTCAAAATCTATAAGCTACACCGGGATCGTCGTCATGGTGTCCTCCAGATGTTGTGGGGTATCATCTCATTATAACTAAGTCTGAGACCATTAAATCATGCTAGCTGAGACTGATAGGAATTGTAGTCCAACAACATCTGGAGCAGAACCTATAATCCACCCCTGAAAGATACAGTTTCATTAATCTTATCTATGCTGATGCTAATTTCACTGCAGCAAAACACTTACAGGATTTTATTCAAAAATAGTGTAGCTCTACAATAATTTGTAGTGCATGATGCTCTTGCATGTGACATTCAGTGCTTAAGCATGGGCATCCCTCTCTTATCAAAAGGGGACTTTGGAAGGCTTTGTGAAGTCTGAACGTGGCTCGGCAAAAGAGATTTCACGTGTGAATTTAACCCTTAATGGTATTTCCCAATTTTATTTTACTGAGTAGAGTTGACAGTAATTCTGTGGGGACCTACTTAATATTACCTCTTCTGGATGACTGAGAACGTGACCCTCTGGACCAGTAATCCCCAGCTCCAAAAGTCTTTTTTGTTCCTAAATAAATGAAGAAATATGGGAGAAGCAATAAATGAAAGGTGCAAAAATCTAATTTGAAACTTTAGAATGCTATCTTTTTAAAAACACCACCACAACCATGTATTTATCCATGACAATTAGAGCGGTTAACTTCCTCATCTATATGTGCAACTCAGCAGCATAACCATTTGCCTTCTGCAACTCTCTGGTAGTTTACAAGGCAAGTCTAAACATAGATCCTACTGTTATGCTATCTTAGGGTGGCAGTGGGGGTGTGGGGGTGTTCCTGAAACCATTCTTTAAAAAAGGCAAGTGAAATATATCAAGGATGCCAAAAGAGGAAGAATTTTTAAAAATAGAATTCTGATACATAATTCTAGCTGATTAAATATGTATAATAAGTACCCATCTTTCTAACATCCTTGTTCCATCTGAATGATCCACATTAAAAACAACATCAAAACGAAGTGTGTTGATGGAGTCCAAAAAAAATTCTCCAAGGATTTGGGCTCATGGAAAGCAAATTTATGTTTCTATTTGACCAACCAAGTCCAAAAAGCATTGCCAGGAGGAATGATCTCCTCGCTCCTCCATCCATGCACTGTTCTAGGAGTTCTCCTGACCAGATTTGGGGAGGTTTGGGAGATGCACAGTGGCAGTGAAAGAGGAGAGAAGTCCTGTTGTGCTATTGAGAGACATGCTGGCTTCTGCTAGTACAACAAACAAGTTGAACCCATGCAATATGTCTATAGCTTTTACGCTATGTATAATTTTTTTTAAAAAAAATAAAATAGGGTCCTGAAAAAAAAATACACATCTCAGGAATCAACAGCCAGGGTAAAGATAAGCATCTTCAGTGTTTTCTGAAAGCTGTATTATGAAGTTTGTTTATACAGAAAAACTAAGAGGACCCCCTCTGCTGACCTTAATACTCAAGGAGGACTGTAGGAAAGGAGATGCTATTTCAGGTACTGTATTTGGGACCTGAGTTGGCTTTTCAGACTAACATGAGCACCTTAAATTGGGCGTGCAAACAAATGCAGCTGTCTGAAAATAGGTGTTATATTTGATCTTAGTGGGACCCTATCCAGTAGTCTGGCCACTGCATTTTAGACCAGTTGAAGTTTCCAAATAACTTCTAGAGCTGCTCCTTGTAGAGAACATTGTGATAATCCGATCTGGCAGCTACCAGAGCCTGCAGTACAATGGCCAAGTCAAGGTTAGACTTGGATTTAATTTATTGTTATTGAGGTATTTTAGTGATTACAAATCACTTTCTCAGAAGATTGTTGTGCAAAGCGGTAAGTAAGCCTTCTGAATAACTAGTTATATTCTGACAGGCAGTAAACCTCTACATGGTAATTTCAAGAGCATTTAATCTTTTGCAATCCGAGGTAAATGTTTTCTGTCCTTGAAGTGCTCTGGAGACATTTATTTCCATGCTTTTGTTCTTTGCCTGCAAATACACTTGAAGGTCACCCTTCATAGTTTTTTAATAACTATGTTGAAAACCCTAAAAACAACCACCCGCTCTGGTGATACCTATCTGCTTTGGATCAAAGTATGATGTCGGATGTGAACAAAAATTCTCTAATCCCAAGCAGATCAATATCTTCAGAAGGGCTTCCAACTTTTCAACTGATGATAACACTGGTCAACAACAAATTTGTTGTCTGCATTTTTTCAGTTGATTTAGGACGAATCTGATGCGCTGAATCCAAAAATCACATTGGTTTTGCTCAATCAGGTCAAGTTTTTGAGCTATGGCCACATGTCGTTTTTTTACGTTTTTGTTCACATGTACGCTTGTGTGGAGCATTTTAGAAGAAGTTGGTGGGGGTAAAATGCCATGTCGAATAATTGTTTTGATTGGAAATGATTATTTTAATGACAAGAAGTATTCAGGTCTGATAGTTCTGGGTGATTATGTCGAAAAGGGATCAGTTTGAAGCCATAAAACCTCAAAATCTTCCACAAATTGGTGCGGCAAAGCATAAAGTTGCTTACCATGCTTATTTTGGTATTAAACTTGGTGACCAGGATAAAGCTTGGGCACCACACATGGTGTGCAAGGCATGCACCGAGACTCTACGTGGGTGGACCAATGGCAAGAGGAGTCTGAACTTTGGAATTCCCATGGTTTGGAGGGAGCCGACAAACCATGTCACTGACTGCTACTTCTGCGCTGTTGATGTGACTGGGATCAACAGAAAGAACCGGAGCAGCCTCAAGTATCCTGATCTTCAATCAGCACGTCGTCCTGTAGCTCATTGTGATGAAATTCCAGTGCCTATCTTCGGAGAACTTCCTGACATTAGTGACGAAGATGCCTCCAGTGTTGAAGGACATGAAGAAGAAGAAGTGGTTCTTGAAGATGATGCTCCACATCCATTTTCCCAAAAGGAGTTGAATGATCTAGTTTGTGACCTCTGCTTGTCAAAGGACTCTGCCGAACTGTTGGCATCCAGATTGAAGGGAAAAAACCTCCTCTCTGACAGTGCTCGCATCAGCTTCTTCCGCAACAGGCATCAAGAGTACCTCCGTTTTTTCTCGGAAGAGAAGGACTTGGTGTACTGTGCAGATATTGCGCAGCTTCTGCTAAAGCTTGGAGTGCCACAGTACGAACCCAAAGATTGGAGACTGTTCATTGACAGCAGCAAGCGATCACTGAAATGTGTTCTGCTACACAACGGCAACCAGTTTGCCTCTATACCCCTGGCTCACTCGAGTACACTGAAGGAGAACTATGAAGCGGTGAAGTATGTGCTGGAGAAAATTGGTTATGATCAGCATAAGTGGTTTATTTGTGCTGACCTGAAGATGGTGAACTTGTTCTTGGGACAACAGTCTGGCTTCACCAAGTATCCATGTTTTCTGTGTATGTGGGATAGTAGGGACTGTGCTCAGCATTACACGAAGAAGGACTGGCCTGTGCAGGAGGAATGGGTGCCTTGCAAAGAAAGGAAGGTCATCAATGACCCTCTGGTGGACAGAGACAGAATACTCTTCCCACTGCTGCACATCAAGCTCGGCTTAATCAAGCAGTTCACCAAGGCTCTGGACAAGAATGGTGACTGCTTCACTTACTTGTGCCAGGCTTTTCCAGGATTGACCATGGAGAAGTTGAAAGCTGGCATCTTTGATGGTCCTCAGATCCATCAGCTCATCAGAGATCCAGAGTTCGGAAACTCAATGAACGAAGTGGAACTGGAAGCGTGGAAGGCATTTGTTCTGGTAGTGAAGAACTTTCTTGGTAACAATAAGGCCAGAAACTACGCAGAACTTGTCAACAACATGCTGACTGCTTTCAGAAACCTGGGCTGCAACATGAGCGTTAAGATGCACTACCTATTTTCACATATGGACCGGTTTCCTGAGAACCTGGGTTCAATGAGTGATGAGCAGGGGGAGAGATTCCATCAGGACATGAAAGAGATGGAGACCAGGTATCAGGGTCACTGGGATGCAGTCATGATGGCTGACTACTGTTGGACTCTGAAGAGAGACCTCCCTGCCGCTGAGCATTCCTGGAGTTCCAAGAAATGGAAGTTCAAGCCCTGAAGTTTGAAAAATGGTGAAGCAACATGCAATTTACCTATACTTACCTTTATCAATGCCTACCATTCAGTTTACAGTAAACCTGACCTGATGGAGAAAAACGGATGCCATTTCCTGATTCAGCAGTGCAAAAATACCCTAAATCAGTTGTAGAAATCTAGACAACATTCAAAAAGTAAAAAATTGTTGCCCAGTGTAATTTAAGAATGCCCTAGGGGTGAATATTAAGGATCTCTGTAAAACAGAACAAGGAAGATACACAAACCCAACCCCTCCTTGGCTGTATGTGTGTATGTATATATCGGTGTGGGACACACACACACACACACACACACACACACACACACCTCCCTCTCTCTGAAGTTTCAGGTGCCTGACATTTAAATACACAAGGTTGAGACACAAGCATCAGCAACCACACACAAACTACTTTAAACTGTTTACTATGAAAGATCCTTAATAGATTTCATGTACTTATATGCCACTTTCCCATGGTGAACTATGTTCAATGTTTCTCACAGCAAACACATGGAAAGGACAACACACACACGTTCCCATGGTATGAGGATACTCTAGCCTGCTGTGGTGCTCATCTTTTAGTTGGCTAGGGTTGGGTTCATCCTCTTTATCGTTTTGCAGTATGAACACTTGTAGCAAATAAAGTTGCATTACTCTTTTGTTGCCGTTTTAAACTTTTGTATGTTGTTTTTTTTTTACAACTGTAACTTGGCAGACAATATGTAGTTAGTGGCAAACAAATGTTATCAAATGCCTAGCTGGCATATAGATGCTATCATTTTCCACAGTGCTATGAAAAAGTGCCCAAAGATTGGAGGGTACATTGTTCTGAATCCATATGGCTGCTCCTATGCACTGCCATATGCTACTTTTTGTTGGTCCCATTTCTCTCTCTCTCTCTCTCTCACACACACACACACACACACAGCCTGATCCAGAATCAAGTTCTGATAAAGTACAAACTTGTACTGTAGGCCATTATCCTCAACATATTACAGATGGATTGGATACCTTTTAGGATACCTAAAAGATCATCTCGCTCCTTATACACCCAACCAATCAATGAACTCTGCAGATGAGGGTCTCCTGTGGATACCATCTCATCAGGAAGTTCATTCCACATGATGTAGGAACAGGGCCTTTAGTGTGGTGGCACCTGCCCCTTGGAACTTGTGCCCATTACAGATCAGACAGGCACTGTCTTTACAGTCTTTTCAGCACCTATTGAAGACATTTCTTTTCCAACCACCCTTCTAACTGAATTGGATTTGAAATTGTTTTCACTGCTGATTTTTTAATTGCTAAATGCTTTGGGATGCTTCATGGCCAGTGAGTCATAAATGAAATGAAATAAATAAACACTCTACCTCATCAATGATGTCTCCGTTTTCAGCATGTACTTGGGCAATGGCGCCCAAATCTCGAATAATACTGAATATCTCATACATCTGCCAGGAAAGAAAGAAAAATGGTGGAGTCTGATAATGCTTATGTTTTTCAACCAAAGCATAGTTGAACAATAGTTTGCATCTTGTATGTATATTACCTGAGCATCAGTGCACTGGAGTTTGTCTTTATAAGCCATGAAAACAAGAAAGGAGTTCACACCTTAATGAAAGCAGAAGAGAATTAATGATTGCTACTGAAAGATGATCATCAGTTACCAGGCTGCATAGCGTGGCCAGCTTAGATACAAAACTAATCAAGGCTTAGAATCTGAATTGAAAAATGTTGAATAAAATCTATGCTGTGAGCCATGAGCTTGCTTATTCAGAAGAAAATGCTATCGAATCCTAAGTGTCTGATTTAACATTCTTAGCAGTCAAGTCAAATACAATGATATGACTCTGAATTACTCATCTGTGCTAAGTGAACAGTTGTCATTAATGCATTTTCTTTCCAATGTCAAAAGTGCAATTAGTTAGGAACCACAGTGTGCAGATACATACCACTCAGGTATATACCACAAGGCTCTGAACCTATCAAATTCTTTTTCAGACAATCTGGAGCAATAAGCTATGTTCATGCATTAAGCTGCGCTATGTTAATTTCTCTGTATGACTTCTTGGGTTGTAGAATTGAACCAAAATCCCCGACAGTTTCCAATTATATTATTAGAATTTATTGCAACGTTTAAATAAACATGAGAAATCTGACATTGGATTGGATAACCCAATTCCATGTATTGGTTAACTTAAAATCTTAACGTTGAGTTTTGTAGGAACATACAAAGCTGCCTTAAACAGAGTGAGACCATCAGTATCCTCTACACTGAGCGGCAGTGGTTTGCCATGGTTTCAAGCAGAAGTCTTTCCTAACCTCACCTGAGAATGTCAGGCAGTGAACCCAAACTTTTTCATGCAAACATACATTCTACCACTGAGGTATGGCTCTTGTGTTTCACCATCAGTTTCTTTGAAAGATGGTGCACTGTGTCCCCAGAAATGATTTTCCTGCAAGGTTTCCCAATCTCTTCCTGATAATGCTTGGTATTTTCCTTCCACTTTCTTCTGGGGCTACTCAGTGTGAACTCCTTCAGCAGCATGGCCTATAGAAAGCGGCCCCTTCACCAGGGTGCAATCCCATGATGCAGGGCATGTGTGTGATGAGTGGGACTATGTGGGTCTTGTGGCACATGATTTTGTGAACACTGAATAATAGTGAGTATAGTCGTACTAATGGAAACAACCATGTGGCCAGTGATGGATCATGTGGCCAGTTGTGCTGGCACAACACAATCGTGAATGGGAATAATTGTTAGTTCTCTTTACTAATAGTAAAGCAATACTAGAGAACAATTCTGAATAGCAGGAAATAGTGTGGCCGTGCAGACGGTCCTGGTCGTATGGGTCTAGTGCCAATTCCTTGGGAAACACAAGAGTGTCACCCCATTCACACTGTCACCCAGTTCTCTCTCACACACACATGCATACAAACAGTCTCACATACAGTTTAGAACCACACCACATGGAAGTGGCTTCCACACCACAAGGAGCCTGTTGCAATGAGGAATGTGTGGACCTTCCCACTGGGATGCCTGGGCAGGTTCTGACCAAGTAGCTCTTGGGTGAAATTTCTGACTCTCTGAGTGGGAAACCACATCAGAGCCATAGCATAGCCTTATCCTAGCTTCACAGCGTATTTAATCTGGAAGGATTCAGCTGGCTTCCCAGAAGGCCCTCTGTGTGGGGAAAAACCATGATGAAGGTTGGAATCCAAAGGGGGTGAGATGCCTGCAGGATCCTTCTTTCTCCCACTATCATTGCCACAGTGGAATGATTTTATGCAGATTTGATTCAATAGTAATTCAAAAGCGGCAGGAAAGACAGAAGCATTCAAGTAGTTGCCTAGATGTTCACCTGGTGGACCTTCTCAGAAGCAACCTGAATGCAACACCCAGAATGGGAGTTTTTATTTGTTTTGTTTTGGTCCACTTGGGCAGCCCAGTAGCATGGGATACCAAAAGCCCTCTCAAGTATTCCACATCCAAGGCATAGCTGGCACCTTAATAAACTATTGGAATTGGGAGTGGGGGATTCTAGTTTTAACAATGTCTACCTAAGGGTCAAATCATATTAAGGTGGGATGCTATTGAATGTTATTCCACAACACTGGATATTGTCATGCTTAAGAAAGAAAGCTTGTTTTTTTTACTGATGGTTAACTAATTTTCATTGTCCTATGTGTGTGTATGGGTTAAACCACAGAGCCTAGGACTTGCCGATCAGAAGGTCGGCAGTTCGAATCCCCGCGACGGGGTGAGCTCCCATTGCTCGGTCCCTATTCCTGCCAACCTAGCAGTTCGAAAGCACGTCAAAGTGGGAAGCACGTCCGGCAGGAAGGTAAACGGCATTTCCGTGTGCTGCTCTAGTTCACCAGAAGCGACTTAGTCATGCTGGCCACATGACCCGGAAGCTGTACGCCGGCTCCCACGGCCAATAAAGCGACATGAGCACCACAACCCCAGAGTCGGTCACGACTGGACCTAATGGTCAGAGGTCCCTTTACTTTTATGTGTGTGTATATGCATGTGGGTACAGACACACACAATAAAAAGAACATTTAAAATACTTATACTTCCCAAATATTGCATTAGAGGACAAATGATCTCGAATAATCAAAGAACACAAAAACTGAGTTTTCCAATGGTGGAAAAACACTGCATGTTAGGACATCATATTCATAAAATGATAAACACATCTTGTCAAAAAGGATAAGCTTCCCTCATCTATTAAACATCATTTGCTCTCAAGCTAAAACACTCTTTTGCATAATCTAGCAGTTTATATGTGGCAGGATCTTTGCCTTCCAGTGTTGCAATATTCATGTCTTTTTGCAACTAGGAAGCTATGACAGTCGTAAATCTCCATCCACTTGTTACTTTCTATGAAGCGTATCTTTGCACTTACCTTTGTCTTTGACGAGAGCCTCCAGCTCTTCTTTGATGCTCTCATGCCAGCGTGTGATGTCAATATGCAGAGAATAATCACAACATGCTTTACTGTCAGCACACTCCCTCCACTGGTCATAGGCAGTCAGAAGGTTTGACCCAGATTCAGGGAACACATGGTCAACTGGAGAAACAAATGCATTCATTGGATGATGAGGGTTCAATTGCCTAATATGGGATGCCAGAGATGATGGAAACTAGAGTCCAACAACACCTGGAAGGCAATGGGTTTCCTACCCCATATCTATTGAAAGGTTCTTATTTCAAGAAGCATTTGGGGGGGGGTTTGCATTTACATCTCACCTTTCTTCCAAGGCAGGCATAGGCAAACTTGGCCCTCCAGATGTTTTGGGACTACAACTCCCACCATCCCTAGCTAACAGGACAGGTGGTCAGGGATGATGGGAGTTGTAGTCCCAAAACATATGGAGGGCCGAGTTTGCCTATGCCTGCTCCAAGGAGTTCCAAGGTGAAGTACATGGTTCTCCCCAAACTCATTTTATCTTCATATAAGGCTGAGGGACTATGACTGGCCCAAGGTGAGCTTAATAGATAAGTGGGAATCTAGACTTTGGTTTCACAGGTCCTAGTCTGACACTCTAACAGATTCTAACTGACCCATCACACTGGCTCTCACATCAGCATAGGTAGCACCAAAGATCTGCAGTGTCTATAATTATATTTCAGACAACCTAATTTTTAAGATTATAACCAGGCAGGGGAAGGACACACAAAATGTTGTGAAAAATGAAAGTTCTGCTACACCCAAAGGGTTGTCGTTGTACCACAATGACATGGGGATATGTTTATGCAAGTCTACAGTACAGAATGCATTGTGGGAGCCCAGACATGCATTAAAGGCTAATTTGTGTGACCAAATGAGCAGTGATCTTGCATACATACAAGTGATATGGTTTCGTGACTAGTGTCTCAAGAGGAGTGTGTTACAAGGCAAACACAGGGCATTTCTCTTGTTTGCTGAAAGTCAGCCTGGATGCGTTCAGCTCAGCTACACTCTGAGGAAATTTGGACCCAAGTGGTACCTGGCAAGAGTGCCTCGCTGAGTTGGACAAAGTTGCAATGCAAGCTTCTTAGGAGTGGCACCACTGCCACTTACTGGAAGGGACTTGGTAAGCAGCAAGGTGGCAGGGCCACTGTGGCTGTGCAGGCACACTGTCAGAGCCAATCTGATGCTCCCACCATGCTCTTCTCCCTCCTGCTAAGAGCCAGTCACACTGGCTGTGGGGAAACTAGTGCTGTGGCCCCACCGCACCAAGTGAGCAACCTCTAATTAGCTATTTTCAGTGACCGATTTTCTGCTCTAACAACAAAAGGAATGCAGTCCACAGTAAGGGCATTACATACGAATCATGGTGGTCCCTCCTGCCAGAGCTGCTTTTGTTCCTTGATAGAAGTCGTCAGCAGAGGTCATTCCCAACACTGGCATCTGCAATCTAGTGTGGACATCTATCCCACCTGGCATAACTAGCTGGCCGTAAGCGTCAACCATTTTCACACCTCCAGGAACAACCAGGTTTTCCCCAATTTGCCTGAAAATGACATTAAAAGAGATTGCTTGCAAGTTTCATTCAAGGAAGACAACAGCATACAGATATCCAACATATTGGGTCGGATCCAGACTAATTTCATTGAATGAAGATCCCAGCAATTAAATTATGACTTAAATCCCATTGATTTAAATGGCAATCAAGTACTGGTAACGAGATCTGGGGTAGTGAAGATGCTGTGGACGGCACCTCCCATCAGCACCAGCCAACATGGCCAATGATCAGGATAAAGAGAGTTATGGTCCAAAATTACAGGAGGGGACCACATTGACTACCCCTGAACTAGATCAACTCACTGTGTTCCTGATGCTCATAACACGGCTTCTGGAAATGTGTTTTTTTACCAAACTCTCCTTGCTGAAATGCTTTCTACATTCACAGTTAAATGCTCTAGCACTCAATGGGGAGCAAAGGAAAGTGCCACCTGAGCACAGCCTTAGGATTAAGCGATAGATATATTTCTTTTGCAACCTTCCAACAGTCTGACTTAAACCCCCAAAGGTGCACTACTCAATTGTCTCCCAAGACAGATGGAGGCCAATCATACTTCTTTGGGGGCATTCCCTGTGATCCTCAGATGAAGAGCAATATAGAAAATAAATAAATAATAATAATAATAATCTTGATCCATAGGTCCCTGTGAGCAAAAGGTGCTGTGTACCGTAGTACTGAATGTGTTACTTTCATGTAGTTGCGTAACAACAATTATACTCTGTCTCCTCTATGCTTTGCTTATATTGTAATTAATGTATCGGAGAGCAATGAAAGTAGATCAAATTGTACACAAATATCTGTAATAAATAAAACTGTACTCCAAAATATTTTTCAGCAACTTACTTAATCAAGCCATCTTCCACATAGATATCTGCATAAAATGACTGATCATCGTTGACAATCTTTCCTCCTTTGATGAGCAGCCGGTCACTCTGATTTAAAAGCAAACAAACAATGATTTCCAAGCTAACCAGACATTTTATTAAAGGTGACTTTAGGTAGACATTCAGAAGCAGACTATGGAGAAATATGTGGTGCAAGCTGAGTGTTGGTCTCAAATCACCCCTGAGATTCAGACTTCGTCTAAGACATGCAAAGCAGCTGATGTTATTTTGTCTAGAAATGCAAAAGAATGTAATACAAACAACAAAGGCAGCAAAAATTGTTGGCATCTCTGGGCTATCTGACCAACTGGTAGGAATTATGTGTTATAGAATTTAGAAAATACACTCATCAGTCTTGCCTGACTTATTTTTTTGTCAAATGTTATTGTAAAACACAGTGCCAGCCAGTCAGCTCTTAATTAAAATGGCTAGAATCCCACATTTTTCAGCTCTCAAAACAAGGAGCCATGGGTTTCTGGTGCAAAGCCTTTGTTGATTTCCCCTCTCGGCGCTGTCTCCAAGGATATTACAAGGAATCAGGCCTATAATTTGCTGAAAGGTGACTCATTTTGAGTTGACCTCTGTTAGCAATTCCAGGGAATCTGCCAGCTGCTGGAGAATGCTAGGGACTCAGAAACACATTATCAGAATAAATGCAGAATAAGTCACACAGCAAAGGAAAGTAAGTGTACAGAGAAGGACAGTATCCCATCCTAACGACAACAAAAATGTAATGGTTTGCAACTGAAACAGAATTTTTAACAAAGAAAAGGAATTTCTGAAGGCATGTGGAATTGGCTTCCTTGTTACATAGCCTGGGGCTTATACCCTTAACTGTAGGCCTTTATAAATGCAACAGTACTAACAAGGAAAGTATCAAGGAGTTGGCTACTTTGGTTTACAACACCCTTTCAAGGACCTCTTATAATAGGATTTAGAGTACCCAGGTGGCCTTCTTCCAAGTTCAAGTTAGCCCATACCAGTTTCATTTCATAGACCAGGGGTCAGCAAGATTTTTCTTGCCTGGGCTGGATCGGTCCTGCGGAGTTCCCTCTGTGGGCTGGATCATGCGCCTGCCTGCGATTTTCTGCGCATGCACAGACGCAATTTCCGGTGCCGCAGAAGCGAATCCCTGCGCTGCGCTGGTTTAGTGCAGTGCACAAGCAGCTTGGTTCGGGGGTGGCTCGTGGGCCAGTCAAACGACCTCCGCGGGCCACTTCCGGCCCATGGGCCTTAGGTGGTGACCCCTGTCATAGACAGAACAATGGATGCCTTCACAACAATTCCTGGGTGTTTACACCTTGATACAGGAATATAGGGTCAATAATGATGATGTGGGTAAGACATGTGCTACCAATCAAAGTGAATAATGTATAGAAAGCATAAGAGGCTTGTTTCATCAGGATACCTCAATGAACAGCTTCAGTGACCCACTGCAGCTCTTCCTCCCCATGAAGGGGGGACAGTATTGGATGAGCAATGCTGTAACTATTCCTAGGCTGCAGCCCTTCTCCATAACAACCAGAGCACGGGCCAGATGCGGTAAGCCAGCCTTTATTCAAACAGCTTCCTTTCAGTCGCTGCTTCAAGGGCTGGCCTACTCTGGCTCGCTCACGGCCAAACAATGAAGAATAGAGCCCTCACATGTCAGGCATTGGGGGGAGCCATTCTGCTCAAAGCCCACCTCGAAAGAAAACCCCTTCTACAGAAGTGACATCACAGCTGCTCATTTTGATGGGAGAAATAGAGTACACTGAGAAAGGAAGGGAGCTGTGAGGCCTGTCTAAACCAAGATAGATAGTCCATTGGCCTGATGCAGCAGGCTCTTCAAACCATCTAACATGACAGGATGCAAGGAATGGGAAAGAGTCACCTACCTCTCCTACTAATGCATTTGAGAGTTCACAGGCTAGGCCATCAGGTCAAGAGGCTCACAACCAAGAATTACTTGGCAGGTAATGAGTTCTGACGTTGCTTACTTTAAAAGTCAACCCTAAAGGGCTTAAGCAGGCATCAGAGCTTCCTCAGTCATCATGGCCAGGATCCAAGGAGACACTTAGGTTCACACAAGGGACGTGCACTAGCTCAGCGGAATATTCACAGGCTCTCTCCCCCTTGACTCTTCATGCAGTTCCACAAGCTGTTTTTTCAATCCTCTTCGATTTCAGCTTGCCACACAGCCTTGGGAACTCCTGCCTGAACATGAGCACTAGTTTCCCAATTCTTTAGATCCTAATGAATGTGGTGTGCTTTATTCCACAGTTTATTTCAGTGGGGAGTTGGTCAGAAATTTCCACAGTTGATTTCACAAGCATAATCTGCTGTATTAGATGTAACCCTAATAGTGCATGTGTCTATATGTGCAATGTACACACACCCCTCTGATAAAGGGCAGGATAAGGAGGGGATGCAAATGGGTAGCATGACAAAATAATAATAATGATTTAGTGGATCAAACTTGGGAAGGGATCAAAAGTAGGTCAAGAAAAGAATAATTTGTGTTTTGGAGAATGCTAATGTTAAGATAGTCACAAACTGTGATTGCCTTTGAAAAGTAGAAATATGCAGAGATTCACATTGATGTGGGCTATATGCAACCAATCCTAACACCTTTAGTTGTGGTAAATGCCTGACAATTTGCTGTGTGGGGAAGCAGAAGAGAGAGAGAGACAGGAAAATATTGTTACTCTTATACTGCAATCCCCTGAATGTCTTCTCAGAAGTAGATCCCATTAAATTCAGTGAGACTTATGACAAAGAAATATATATAGGATTGCAGTCTCAGGTGTGTATGGGTTGATGTAATGGAGATCCAGAAGGCATTTGAAATAACTACCTTTGCATAAAGATAGGTCTGATGCATGGACTTATTTCAAACAGCAGAGCTTAGCTTACAGATAATATGAATGTGCACTGTATTTGAAAAGCATTTAACAGGTAAATAGAAGCTTGTTGCATTGTTATTATGAAGCACATCCAGCTGAGGATAAAACACTGTTTAAATCCTTGGGGTTCAAGTTGGGTTACATTTAACAAAAGAGGACACTAATTCTCTGCACAGGGAGCTTTCAGTGGCAAATGTCTTAAATAGCAGCCCTCAGTCAGAAGACTTCCATCCCCCTATTCCCCCCCCCCCCACCTATATTCCCAGGAACAGATTGTGTATTAGAAGTTACTACATCCCACAGTCACTGAAGAAATCCTTATAGGAAATGCTCACATTTCAGTGTTTATCTGTTCAACTTGTATCTGAATAACCTGTATTGATTGCCTTTCACATGCCTGATACTGAGAAATACTCTAGACACCAAGCTAAATTAAGCTCTTTGCGCTTAAAAACAAATTCAGCCAAAAAGATATTAATCCCCTCTCTTTGAGGTGGAAAACACGGATATAGATTTGTCCATGGGAGGCAAATGGGGCTCCTCTGCCCCTCGAGAAAGAGGCTTGGGCTGCACACCTGCTTCTGGAAATGCACATTTTAACATTCAGAAGAGGGTCGAATGGAGGATGGTGTCGTAGGAGGTCACCCACTCAAAGGGAGTTAGAAATCCTCGAATGAGCAATCAGATCGAGGGCGGGGGTGGGCTGCAAGCGGATAAACAACAGAAGAAGGCGACACCAGCCACTTAGCGAAGAAGAAGAAAGGCGCGCCACGAAGAATGTTGTTTTGCATTCCCTTATAAGTTGATTCGGGGTGCGGATTCCTCAAGGTCTTTCGCAGCGCTTTATGACCCTGGGAGATTTCCAGAATAACACAGCGCTCTGTTTTGTTTTTCTCCTTGGAAAGCCGGTGGGTGGGGGGACCCATTGGCTCGCTTCTGCGCGAAGAAGGCAGCAGCGCGCACCTACAGGCTGAACGTTACATGGGGAGAAAGAGCGCGCTGTGGACAAGGAGAGGTTGTTTGAGGAGTCCCCAGGCGGACGGTCACCACCAGCCATGGCCAGCGGAGGCACAAACGCCGAATGCCCTCGCTCGGATCTCGCCTGCGCCTCCCGCCCCCCCCCGAAGCCCACCGGGACTGCGCAGCTCCACCTACCCCTCCCTCCCCGTTGCAACCCAAACCTCCCCTCGCCTTCCCGTTACGAAAATCCTACCCAGGGGCTTCAGCTCGGCGGCCCACCCGGGTGGGATCCTCACCAGCGCCGCCAGAAGCCTCGGGAAAGGCAGAGGGTGGGGGCTGGGGGCTCCGCACAAGCCCGGGAAGCGCAGATCGGACTCTCGTAGAGCAATGCCAACCCGAGAATCATCGCCATCCCCAGCCCAGGGCCCGGCGGCTCACCGTGATCCGCGGGATGTTCTTCTTGCCTTGGTACGACATCTTCCCCCGCAGGCCTTGCCGAGCGCGGGACGGGGAGGTGGGAAGGGGTCACGGGCGGCAGCGACGACGAAGGGCCTTTGTGGGTCCGGAGGGCGCCCGGCCGAGGGAGCAGCGGCTGGCGCCGGCGGATGGCTCTGTGCTGAGTGGCGCCGCGTGTGCGTGCGCGCCTCTCCGCCCGGCGGATTGTTCTGGCAAGGAGGGAGGGAGGGCGGGCAAGCGAGAGCGAGCGAGCGAGCGAGAGCAGCTCGGTGGCTCCCCCTGCGCCGGCCGCCCGGCAGCCTTGCCGAGTGAGCAGCTGCCTGATTAGCATTCCACGCCCGTGCGCCAGGCAGCGGCAGACAGGGCCCCAGACGCGCAGGCAGACAGCTCCGCCGGGGCCTCTCCTGCGAGCCCGGCCCGCCGCAGCAGCCACGGCCCTGTCCAACAAAAGCCTGCGCCTCCCCACGCCGGCCAACAAAGGCCACGTGGCCGAGCCCTCTCTCTCCAGGGGCCAGGCCCTCGGCAGCAGGGGGGCGGCTGGCTGGAGACGCAGCCGAGAGGGCTTTTGTGTTTCCCGTTTGGTGCTTGGGGTGTGTGTGTGTGTGTGTGTGCGTGTGTGTGTGTGTATGTGTGTGTGTGTGTGCACATCCTGCTGGGAGCTGGTATAGACGCAGGCGGCTCCCCGGGGCTGATTTGGGAGCAGGAAGTTAGATCACCTGCCCCCCATCCACCCCGCTTCAGATCCATATTTCAAACCTTGCGTTGGATTGGGACTTACTCACCCCGAGTTTAACTTGAAAGCCAATATCCTTGATGTCGGTGGAACCGGCTTCCGAGTGACTAGGACCACATGCGCGCAGAGCAGCAGGGGTGCCAACTTGAATAAAATTGAGGGGGGGACCCAAGTAAGCCCTCTCTCGCATAATCGATCACAAGACGCGGCACATACACTCCATTTGAATGCCCATCAACTTTGGGGGTCACCGGCCCCCTCAAATATTTTATGGGGAGGGGGGCGAAGTCCCTGGGAGTTGGCTCCTATGCAGAGCAGTGTTGTGTAGCCCCAAACAGGCGGTTGCTTCCCTACAGCGCTGTCATCTGCACGTCCATTCAAAAGGAAGCCCCGTTTTGTTTAACTTTTCCAAGTGTATTTCAGGTTTAAGTGACCCTCTGTTTTAATATAGCATCAGATCCTCGGGGCAACCAGCTCAGCCCTGGTCAGAATTTTCCTTCATAAGCACCACCGAGTGTTGAAGACAGAGATCTGGCTAGGATCCAATAATAAGGGGATCCTCTGCGGAATCAGATGCACTTGGCGAGGTGCTGTTTCAAACGACGCGTAATTCACTAAGGAATTCTCTGTCGCACCATTTAATTGGTGACCAGTAGCTTAGTGTGCTGGTTTTGTTTTTAAGGATGGGATAAATTCATGCAGAGGATATGTCAGCTCTGCTCTAAGGGGTCCTGGTCACGAGAGATGGGTCGTCCATATTCCGAGGATATAATGAATAATGGGAGGCCTTGGAGGCAAACAAAAGGAGCGGGCTCCTGCCTTTGTGCTCTGCCTGTAGGCTTCCTGAAAGCATCAGTCTGGCCACTCCTATGGAAACGCAAGTTCCAGGTTAGCTGGAGTCTGGATGTGATCCTGGAGGGCTGTGGTGTTCAAGGCTGATGTTGTAACATGTGATGTGTTGCCTGAGTTTTGTTTGTTTACCTCTTCCCTCCACACACCCCTTTCCTTTTGTGTCCTATCTTTTTAAGACTTTAATTGGGCCTTTTGCTGGGCTAGATAACGGGGTATAAGTGTTTTGCAGGAATAAGTAAAATGTGTCACTCATTTCAGAGAACAAAGAGAAAATATGCATGCCTGTTCAGAAGCAGAGTTCAAGGGAACTTACACCAAGGTAAGTATTCTTTATTTCTATTTAGAATTGCAGCCTTAATCAATAACTTGCAGGGCAGCCAAGTAGCATTTAGACTGGCGAACGAAACCTCAGTTCTTAAAGCTTTGTGCTCAAATTACCAGGAAAAAGAGATTGTCACAAGAGACTCCCTCCCTTCCTCCCTCTCCACTGCACCACGTGGAAAGTAGTTTATTAAAAACCATTTATCAGCATTAAAGTGGAAGAGAAGAGGGGCATTCTGCTTTGCTGCAATTCCCACTCAGATGTAGGAGGTGTGGTTGTGTGTGTGTAGAATGAGCCTGCTGGATCAGGCCAATGGCCTATCTATTCCACCATGCTGGTGGCCAACCAGATGTCTATAGCAAGCCCCCAGGCAGGATCTGAGCGCTGCAGCCACTCTCTCCTCCTGCTGCTTCCAGCAACTAGCATTCAGAAGTCTGCTGCCTCCACAGTGGAGATAAGAACATTAGCCACCAAGGCTAGCATTCTGGGTTAATATAATCTCCAGCCCTAACCTCAAACTCCGCATGGCTCCTGCTACTGGGAAGAAACACCCGGTCCTACCTTTATTAAAAGCATTTTGGGTTGCTATTTTATGCCAATTTCCCCCAAAGTATGCCTCACTGAAATTCCTACTCAGAAGTAAGTCCCTTTGAGTTAACCCGGACCTACCCTACAGTAAATGTGTAAAGCATTTCAGCCTTCCCCTCCAATTCTTTTATTCATATTAAAATCAATAAAATGACTCCCATTGGCTGTAACATAAGACCGGGTCTGTTGAATCTCACAGCAGCAGAGGAGATTTCTACGGACCATGCACGCTGACTCCGATGTGCACTCTACCTTGGAAAGAGACTGAAGAGACAAAAGCCAGGTCCCCGGTGACGCTCATTTGCGTTGCAAAATAACAGAGGACACAGTGCTCCTGCTCTACCTGTGGGGTATACATGGCTGCCACGCCACATTTAAAGAGGACGCTGGAGAAAGCCAGCCAGCCGTCTAAACGGGCTGCAGCCGACTGGGAAATCAATCGCCACCTGGCATCCCGATCAGTCCTCTTCGGAGGGCGGGAGGGGGGCGATTGTGACAGGTTTCGTGACCTCGGATGCGATTAAGAAGCGGCGGCTCCACTGTGAATTCCAAACCACATTCCAGTTCAGGAAATGCAGCTGGCTCTGTCGCTTGCTCGGAGCAGCTCTCGCGCCTCTGAAATCGAGGGCGGACGCCGAGCCGCTCACGGGTTTGCCAGGTCCTCGTCTCACGAGCTGAACCTGCGCGCATGAGCCGAGTCACTTCGAGCGCCGACTACTTGGCTGGAAGAGACCCAGACGCTAGGCGCTTTCTGCCTGTTCCCGGGCCGTTTGGCTGATTCTGCTAAGGGACTGGCCTTTCTGCACCGGATTTGCTCATTACCTTCCTCAGGTCGTTAAATACATCCCTGAAACATTTCTATGCGGGACAGACAGACAGAGCGCTGGTTCAGCTTTATCTCGCACCCTCAAAAGTTTAGCCCCATAGCGCATATCCTCCAATGACCGTCCCCAGCGCCTTCCTCCCCCGGTTACCTGATGGCAGCCATTGGGTAATTCCTCCGCTACTCCAACTGACGGCGGCCCCGCGGGTGTGAGGACCGGGGTACTTTGGCTGCCGCTGCTGGCTTCGCTCTGCCCCTCCGACCCGCTGGAGAGCTGGCTGAGGTCCCCTCGACTGAGCTTCTGGTTGCTGCCCCCTCGCCTCCCTCCGCCGAGCGATTCGAAGTCCAGCGTCTTGTTTTCGAAGGCGCCCTCCACATTGCAAAACATCCCTCCGTACTTCTGCCGGGGCTTGGGGCTGCAGGTGCCGAGGGCCGCGAAATAATCGGGCACTTCCTCCTCTTTCTTCTCCGGCGGCTGGAGCTGCTCCCTCGGCTCTGCCATGGCTGCTAGGGAGGGAGGCCGCCTGCCTGGGACTGCTGGAGAGTGGAGCGAAGTGTTGCCCTCGGGGAGGGCTGGGGAACTAGCGCCGTGTGGGGATGGGGGTGTCACGGCAACGCAGGGGCTCAATCCGATTTCACTTGTCAGATGTAAACTCCTAGCCAGCTCCGCGCTGCGTTAGGCAGGTAACGCCATTGGTCTTCGCCACGAGCCTGGCTGGCTGGGAGCTGTCCACGCTCTGTGGTGCTGAAGCAGCCGCGCCGGAGGAGTTCATTAGGAGGACATCCCAGCGAGAGCCCACCTACAGGAGAATTTCCATCGCTGTCACTTAAACGCTGCTTTGCCTCTCGCGGGGGGTTGGCTCAACTCACCATGCATGAGTCGAGGTGGTCCCAGAAGAAGAATAAACACAATGGAAGTTTACTGACAGCCTTTATTGAATCAATTATTCCCTTACCAACGGAGACAGACACAAGAGATAACGTGCTTGCTTTTGCTCCATTAACAGTTTATTAAGGGATAGCCAAAGGCGTTTTGAACAAAAGCGAAGCACTTTTCTATGTAGGGCTATAGAACATTTGTAGCCCAGTGCTTACACTTAAGTCTGTAAACCCTTGCCAACTATAATTCTGTAGATGAAATTTGAAGACTTATTTGAATGGAATGCATGCATTATGAAGCACATGATACACTGGCATACCTTGCATTTTCTCTTCTGCATTCCTTTAATTTTGATCCAGATATGTGCAAAAAAGTAGAATAAATATTGTTACATTTTCATCACAACTGCAGCGTGGTGTCTGACAAACAATTTGATTATACTATTTGTGGAAAAATTTCAATGCTACCTGGTGGGATTTATTTATTTTTTTACTAATTGTTTCATTTTGCTGATGGTAATTTAGGTCAGAATTCATATAAAAAGTAGGTTCCTCCACAGATTATTTAAATTTTCAGTTTCATTATGAATGAGATAACAGTACTCCAGTATACGATTTCTGCTTGCAACTAATGTCAGCCTTTGGGCAACAGACTGTTCTGTTTCACATACTTTATTCCCTTGTTGTTTTAGCTGATACAGGATTATAGCTCTAGAAACGAGTTACTAAACAGAATTAGGTCATTGCACTGCAATGCTAGCAGAAAGCTTGGCTCAAAGTTCTTGTTTTTAAAGCAAGCAGAAAGGAGAGACCCCTATTTATCCATGAACACAAAGTCATTTCTTACAGTCAAGACCTGTAAAATCTAATGAACATACATATCTAATGTACCTAATGTAAGGACTAGTTCCAGAATTATTAATCCAGTTGCTATGTGCAACTGCTCACACAAAGTGGTCTCCTATGGCCAGTGTGACACTCCCCAAATTCTCTTGGAAGATTTTGGAGGCTACTTCCATGAGCAGGAAACCAGAACCACCATTTACAGAAATTGTGCTATATTCCCTTCCAATGGGCCACCATAACAGGAAACTTTAGAAAGGAGGAAGTGGGCTGCAGGTCACAGACCAGTCAATTACGTCTTTCTTCTCAGCATAACCTACCTTACATAACCTTGGTATTTCCAAACTGTCAGCACATTGCTGTTGTCTTCACACCTCCTCAGCATATAGACTTATATAGACCTTTTTGTACACTAGGCATGCATGTGGTAAAATAGGATAAAGATATGGAAATTGATTGAATGTTTCTTGGCAGATACAGCTATTTAATCAAGTCATAAGACATTTAAAGAGATGTGTTGGGAGCTGGGTTGTCTATGGTTGGCTGTAATTGTTGGTATAATAAATGGAAATATTCTCTACAACAATCTGGAGCATAGTTTTTTGATGTGTGCTGATCAATGTGTAAACTTACTCAGATTACTCCATTGATATAGTTCAAAAGCAACTACTGCTGTTTACATGGTGGCTTCAACACTTTTCTTTTTGTGCTGCATGGAGAAAATCCATGTCTAGTCATTCATACGTTTAAAAGACTTTTTTAATTAAAAGTTTACAATAATTTATGTACTTTACAAATGAATAGAAAGTCTCTGATATATATAGCATATGAATCACAATACAAAAATATGTGTAAAACTTTGTACATATAAGCCTATTTTAGGCTCATCAATTATCTCTTTAGCACAGAACCAAACATTAAGTATTTAGGATATGATTATTATGAGATTACATTAGAAAACACAAGTAAACCATGGCATATTTTATCATGGAAGAAAACTATTGTATATGCTTTTAGTTTTTACAGACATTTACAGCAGCTGCTTAAATAAACTGTACACTAAATATGCGGATGTACTGTACATATTCACAATACGATTTCCTGAGTCTAAACTAAATCCATTACTGTTCAGAAACACACTCTGCACTGTAAGGGTTTAATGGTGTCATTAAAGATACAGGTTAATTTGGCACCTGTCCACCACAAATAACTTTCAGGTGCATTGGTTTTCTCCATGATGACAGGTATTTATGTTAACAAGCTGTGTAAGGCACTCTGGGATATACTGAAGACTACAGATATTAAGCGAGCTGAATACTTTCAAATAACAGCCACAGTCCTTCAACAGCTTGAACCACAGGCATAAGTCTGGTATACATAACACACAGTCACTGACAAATTAAGCAGCAATTCAAATGGATTATAGTTTAGACGTGATGGCAAAACAATTACCCAGAATATACATGTTCTCTAACTGATGAGCGCAAGTCATATGCCAAACTAGTTGTGAACATGGTATATGATTATATTATTAAGGCTTTCTTGGAACTCTGGTGTTACAATTCAATGTAGTTACACATATCTTCTTTCCATATTGGCTATTGTCATATATCAGTAATTAAACTAAAAATGTAAGTGCGTGCTGGTGCATATATGGTCCCAGCTATTACTACATGGGGTGAGATGGGGGAGTGAGCATCCTTGGGTTTGTGCATCCTTTGGCACAAGAACTTTTACTGTCAAACAGCACTTACAGGCATATTTCCCTCTCCAGATAAGTTCAGTGCATGGGATGCCTTCCCTGTTTACTTGAATGTCAGCAAACTTCCATTAGGGCCATGTACTATTCAAACAGGAAAATTGGCATTGTCCACTCACTGGAGTCCATGGTTTCCTTTGCTAGCTTCCCAAGAATTAGCTGTATACGGCATGTGAAATAATGGCAGTGCTTAAAACATGCAGCTGATGGGTTGGATGAATCTCTGCATTGGTGAAACATCACAAAACAAGATATGATGACAGTGGTGCAGAATACTATTCTATCATGACAGGCAAATACTAGCTCTACGCTTTAGAACTGGCTTCCTATTAAACAGTGTAATTCTATGCATGCTTATTTGGAAGTACTTTGCAGTGTGTTCGACGGTGTTTACTCCCTAGTAAGTGTGTACGATTGCAGCCTAAATTGCCTTCATATAGAATATGTTCTAGAAGGTTTGCTGTGCATACAGCTCCTCCCAAGTGATGGCTTCACTATAAATTTAAAGGGAGCATATCTTTTTGTGCATGCAAGAGACCAGTGTGCACATCAAGAGCACACTTAATACTCTAGATTGGGCAACTGTAAATTCAAGGTAGGCACCCCATCTTATTGGAGACAAATCTAGCAAAATTATATACAAATCTGTTTTTACTACTTTTATCTCACAATACATATAGCAGACCCATATAAATGCTAGAGAATTACATTGGAGAAATGGAGCATATTATTCCTTGTTAGTGCATTACCAAAGGAACAGTGAATTTAAGACATGATCCTAGGTACAGCTCCTTAGAAGTTTGTTCCAACAAAATCCATGGGATCTCCTTCCACCTTATGGACAGATACAAAAACATGAACACAAGAGCAGCTTCCAGAGCAGCATGGGAAGCTGAGGTTAGAAAATTAAATGTGTAATACACCAGGTAGTTTATGGAAGTACTTTCAGTGTACTCTACTCAGCTCCTTAGATTCTGGCCATTTACTCTAATCCCAAATTCCATGTTGATCTGCAGGACTGGAGATAAAACGTGCAGCAGAGATGACCAGGGAAGCAATTCTGAAAGAGGCAAATGAGCACTATGACATTGTCTTGTGTGAGTCTCTTTGGGGAAACTTGCTTGTTCCTTCAGTTCCTCCAATGATTAGCATTACTGAAGGAGGTGGCAGCGTAGTGCAGCAAAATACACTCGCAGGCCTGCGTCACTCTCTGAGGAATAAAGTGGCTACAGAGGTTGCAGAATTCAGCTTTACCTGTATTTGAGATGTCTTAGATTTAGTGGAGAGGCCATTTCCTGTATCCTACATATAGCTAATGGAGACCAGAGACAGGGCCTTTTCTATGGCCGCAGCTACATTTTCTGAGCATTAGGGAAGATTCTTCTGTGCAGGCAGCCTTTTGCTACACTGGCTTAGATAAGGGTCTGTGCTGAGCACAGTTGTTGTTTCAAAAAAGCATGGCTTTTTTTGCGTATTTGTGTTGTATTTCTTTGATATGTTTCATTGTGATTTTAATTCATATGAGCCGTCTTGAGTGGGATGAAAGCCTCAGAAATGTGGGGTAGAAATATTAGCAATGAACAAATAAAGTGGATGGGGTGCAGTTTAATGTTCTATACAGCTTACTATGGTGATGACTCATTTTGGCATGTATGCCACAAGTCAAGTTCAAAGGAAGGGGTGGTGACATTCTTTAATGGGCATCATGCTTCTGGAAGCTAATGCTATGTCACTATAACCCATTCGAAGCACTCTGCTGCTTGTACAGCATGCCTTAGGATGGAGTAACTAGCTTGATAAGATGCATATTTACTCAGAAGTAGGTTCTGAAGATTTAGCAGGGCTTATTCCTAGTTAAATTGTAGAGAATTTCAATCTAAATGGCATGGCAAGCAATGTCTGAGCTTCATTTTGCTTCCCTTATTAAGGAAGTTCAGCTCAACATTTGCATGCACCATCATACAGACACTGGAGTTTTCCAGAATTTTATGTTATCACCATCAGCAATGTGAGTAAAGTGC